AGGCTTGGTTTTTTTATTCAAAGAAAAGATGCAAAGATGTGAACACAGAACTGAAACTAGAGGTCAAAGTTCAGATATTCATCAACTTAACCTGCAGTGACACCCACCAGCATTTTCAAATACAGATCATAACCTTATAGAGCTCTCAGTCTGCAAAAGTTTGAGGCATTGCATCATCACTGTTAATACCAGGCAAGAAAAGGCTCTTGAATAGAGTTGGACAGACGTCACACATGCAGCGCGGGACTAATATAAAAATCAAAAAACGAGTACCAAACAACACAGATTCAAATTTTCAGCTTCGTTTTCTCATCGCCAACGTAGATTTGTCAACTTTTTTCCTTGCACCGCTGTCTTTAATGTAGTAAAACGGCATCCTTGTCCTGGCTTGATGGCCACAGTTCCAGTAAATACAAGTGTTGTATTTTGTAACGATTCCTCTAGCTCTTACAATGAGAAAGCTCAGGTGAGTAAGCATTTTCATGAATCCATTTCCTGATTTTATAAATATCAGCGCACATCTGATTTACTTAAACACCATGTTTTAGTCTCTTTCCCATTTTGAAGAATGGTTAAGAGAAATGGCCCTCCGTGTCACATCAGATTTATACATCAGGGGAACAGGAAATAGTGGATTGGTATTTAAAGGTTGCTACACACAAGGTGAACCATATTTAGAGGCTGTGGTGCTCAACGTGGTCATCTGAGGTGTGATTCCCGGCCTCAAGCCTTTTGGTGCATGTCCACCCTCTTTTCTGTCTAAACTGACTGTTCAATAAAGGCCACAAGTACCAAAAAAAAAATCTTTAAAAAAAAGTTTCTGCTCACTCTGAACGCTAAAATATAAGTGAAACGCTTATGTAACATATATCTTTTTATTTTAAAGAATGTCTTAGTCAATAGTTGTTTGCAGGGATTTTGTTGCAAACAATTATTTTTTTTTAATGCGAGATCTTGATATCCTCACCCACTCATTGTGCTTAAATAAAATGTGATAATACGTTACTGCAATGAATTGCTACTTTAATTTTAAGCTCTTTAATAGGATTGTCAATAAATGTTTAGAGCACTGTAAATGATTCGGTTTTACTATTTATTTATTTTTTTTTACTGAATAGATTTATTAAGTCAGACACTATTAAAATCCTAGTCAAACAACTTTTTTCCCTCGCTAGCAAAATTTGAATGTCTACAAAGCATTTCATTTAAATAAAATATGTAAAATGTCTTGACAAACTTAAGAACCGACCATAAAATACATTCTTCCACCAAAAGAACAACATGTTCCAGTTCTATCTGAATTAATGGGTGAAGACAGGGTGACAAAATACAACTTTTAAGACCTCAGACCTGCTCTATCTGGAGTAAGCCAGACTAAATTAAAAGACCATCCTTTAATGGCTGAAGTTGATTTATTAATTCATTACTAAGCTGCATTTGGGCTGTGACCTTGATGAGAACAGACTATTCTCTCTGTCTGAAAAGGCTTTGACTGGACTGCTCATTACATTTTAATCACCTTGCATGATGTAATGTTTGTTCTGCTGTGTAGGCCCATTACAAGAGCATCTGCTCAGAATATGGGTGCGTTGACGGAAGGTCCCGTACATCATCCCTCCCTCAAATTGTAAATCAATATCTCGATAATTTAGATAAAGATTAATACCTTGTTGGGTTAATAACGTTGGAGGATTTGTCAGGATGCAAAGGCAGCGGGGTGAGGGATGCGGGGCGTGTTCAGTGACCCATTTACCCCCTGCCTCCTCCTGCTGCTGCTGCTGCTGCTCCCCCCTCCTCACCTCACTGCGAATTTCATTTCCCTTGATACTGGCTCGACTTGAGCATCGGTCAAACTCCCTGTCGCTCACACAAGCGTAAACATCGGGGGGGGGAAAAAAATGTAGAAAACAAACCTGACCGTCCCAAAATATGTCATCTCATCAACACCGGGGTCTGTCATATGACCAGGTAAAAGCGTCGGAAATGTGTGAAAGAGCTTCACCAGGCCCTGTCACAGCGGGTTTCTCAAACACACTATGTTGTTTTTTTTCTCTCTCTCTAACTCAGCCGCCCACCAGCCAGCTGCTTCCCGTCCTGCCAGATAATCAGAGGTTGCTGAGGGCAGCGACCCATTCAGGCCAGGCCACCAGTAATGTGGCTAATGTTTACAGATCAGCTTTACACGGGTGTTGTTTAGCGGACATTTGCAGTTTGCCACAAGTATGCGCTTCTCTTCCTGGCCTTAACAGTTTCTACCTATACGGGAGACAGAGGACAGCAGACACGTGTGGTGACGACTGTGAGAGAGGCTTGGAAAAAATGTCTCACAAAAACTTGTTAAGTTTGGTTTAAGGGACGCTAGGGCAGTCCACCAACAAGCAGCCCATTTTTTAAAATATGGCAAGATAAATTATGCGATATTGTACGACATCATTTAAAAAACGATAGTCTTAAGAACATGTATTAAGCGAGCGTGCGTGAGATAAGCGCACACTCAACACTTTATTCTTTGTTTACAGAGATATGCGCTCACATCAGTCTAACTGCACGCCCAGTTCAATGCATGAACTATAAACCCGGCTTGGTTTTCACTGTTACTGGTGCATGAAAAAAATCCTTACAAGAAACACTTAGCCTGGTGGGGGGCATCGCTGTTTTACTGTATTGTATTATTGTGAGCAGAGGGAATTCAATGTTTGGTTTTAAAAACTATTTACAAATAAAAATCTGAAAAGGGTGCCAAGCAATGGTATTAATCAATCTTTACTCCGTTACCTCTAAATAAAATCCAAGGCAACAAACTGCGTTCACAAGCCATCTTGGACAAACTAGTCCATGTGTACAGTTGTTCTGCGAAGGCTTCAGGGGTTTATTCAAGACCATTAGCAAACGAACAGCATTATGAAGACCAAGGAACACAGCAGACAACTTCTCTGGAGTTTAGTGAAATCCGTCATGTCACATGTGTAACTCTGCACAGATCAGGTCGTCCTCACAAACTGTGCAAAAAAGAGAGTAGTGACCGAGGTCACCAGAACACCTCCGACTATGCTGAAGGAGTTATAAGCTCCAGCAGCCGAGACGGGGAAGACTCTGCAGACAACAACTGTTGCCAGTTTTCTTGACCAGTCAAAGCTTTAGGAGAGACTGGCAAAGAGCTTAAAGGTATGTGGGAGATTCCATGGCAAAGTGGAAGAAAGTTCTTTGATCCGATGAGACCAAAATGGAGCTTTTTGGCCATCAGGCAAGACGCTATCTCCTTTACGCTTGTAAAGGAGATAAAACGAATATAGCAAAATATAGAGAAATCCAGGACAATCTGTTTCCATCTGCGAAAGAACTACAGCTTCAGAGAACAGCTACCCAAAGCATCCAGCTATCGCTACACAGGAAAGGTTTGAAGACAATAAGGTTGATGTTCTGGAGTGGTCCAGTCAAGGCAAAGACCTCAATTCAACAGAGGATTTGTGGTAGGACATGAAAAGGCCTGTTCATAGATGATCCCCACACAACCTGACACAGCTTGAACAAGGACAAGTGGAGAAAAATTGCAGCGTCCAGATGCGCAGCTTGACTCGGACCCACAGACACAGACTTCATGCTGTTATTGCAGCCAAAGATGTATCTAAAAAAAAAATACATTCACTTATTTCATGTTACAGATTCCTATCATTATTATATAGATAATCACTTTTCACTTTGACATTAAAAGTTTTTTCTATTTTTTATTTTTTTATGCCAAAACAAGATCATGACTGATTTGTAACGGCAATAAAAAGGTAAAATATACTGCATTAGAGTGGCAAGAATAAATCCACTGATGAAACATCTTGTTGAGTGTTGGCTTATGCGACTCAGGTATGCAGTGTTTTTTTTATTTGTTTTACACTGATTTGATTAAAGTGTTTATTACAAGCATATAGTCATTTTTGCATTTTGTTTTTACAGTTCAATCATTGTTTCCTGATGTTCTTTAGAGTTTTTTTTTCTTTTCTTTTTGTTAGTTCACCCAGCTTTTGGATTGTTTGTTTCTCCTTAGTATTTGTGAGGGCAGACTATTTTTCAGTTGTTTTTTTTTTGTGCTTTTATGTCCTGTGTCTCATTTTCGGGTCACTTCCCAGAATATAAGCATGTCGCCGTTAATCTTAAATATCTGTGACCCAATCCTGTTTGTTGTAGTGTGACCTTGGGTTTAGATTGCATGTAGTTATTCTGCAGTGAATCAAGAGCATCATTAGCTTGCAGTGAATAGTTGTTTTGCAGTGTTTTATGCGGGTTTGTCTGCCTGAAGGGGTGTTTGAATTCGGGTCAAATGTTATTGGACTGACAAAGGACTGGATAAAGTTAATGGGAAACCCTTTTATTTGTGTAATTGATTACTGGCTTGGCGGAATCGTAACATAAGCATACTCATGAGCTAAAATCGCCTAGTCAAAGTCCAGACCTACTAAAAAACAACATTAATTTCAACTAGATTTGCAAAGTCTCAAATTACTTGAAAGGCGGTCCAAGGTAATTTATTGACTCATAGGGACATTAGACAAGCACACATTTTTCTAATTTTTACTCCCAAAACTTTTGGAAGACCACATACCCTTTCCATCCATTTCAAAAGTATGAGACAGACTTTAAAGTTTGTAGTGTAGGAGAAGAAATGTGGAAAAAGTCCAAGAAGGTGTGAATATTTTTGCAAAGGACTGTAAACGAGCCAGCAAAGTTCATATGTGTCCAACACACACCCCCACAGTTACTACTGGATCTGCAACCACCGGCACATTCTCATTGAGCTCCACAAAAACAACAGTCGGGCGCCTGCCAAAGCCGATCCACTGACATGTGCATCACTGCAGATGAGCAAAGCGTTTGTCATTCTGCGTGTCACCCACCTTTAGGGAGGGGAAAAAACCAATGCCAGGCTAGAAATAAAACATCCGTAACAATCTGCAGCACATAAAAACATCGGATATGGAATGATAGTGTTGACAGACGGCGGCCCTTACGTATCTGCTGATGATGTTCCGGAGCAGGCTGAAATCCATCCTTTGAGACAGCTCCCCGGCCGCGGCGGCGGCGGCGGCTACAAACTGCGCGACAGAGACGGGTCAGCAGCTCTCCCTGGATCTTCGTAAGCGCTACCTAAAAGAGCGGATGTTTCCAGCTGGATCCATCTCTCGCTCTCTCTGCCGCCACCAGCGCCCCTGGCGTGTCTGTGATTGTAGCGAGGAGCGGCGGTCTCTCTCTCCCGAGTTACTCCGCTCCTGTGATTTTCATGGCATCCCTGGAAGACCCACACAGCTCCCCCC